CCTGAGTGTCGGTAAAGCTGCGGTGATATCGGCACAAGGGCGTCCAGTAGAGGGATAAGTCTCTACACATAGCTTGCAGATAAGCATTGGGAGCGATCTATGCATTAGGCCAATGCATAGAATGCCTGGTTATTTAGCTGGGGCCTAGGTGTGGCAAACACCTATTGTTTCAGGCAGTCTACAATCATCATCAGGGATTCTTCGTTGGACACAACTACATCACCGAGCTCGACTACGTTGGGACATCGCAAGGGCGGCCCCGACTGGAGCGTCGGCCCGCGTAAGTGTTTAAACTGTCTATCGCATTGTATTGTTCTAATTGAGGGTTTTGTTTATTTCCTTACATGTTGTTTTACATTCATTGCCGCATGCCACTTCGCAAGATGTAACTCTCGAGGGGAACCCACTGGCTGCTATGTAAAGCTGGTAGGAGGAAATAGCTGAGGCTATTGGTATATATATACATAATAGGTGAAAAATATCATCGTTCATAATAATAATAAAAATCGCTCCTACATATTGTTCGTTATTATAGTGCGCGCAATTGGATACGTGACTTTGGATGACTTTTTGTACGTGGAGTCCGGCGACATGCCCGTGATGGAACTGTCACCCCGTCCGTATGTGTAAATTTCTGTGCGCGCATTGGTGACAAAATGTTACTTCATGCCCCTTTCGATTACATTCGTATGTACACTTGCCTATGGTACATTAGCTTAAAAATAGCGTCAAGGTCAAATTCGATGTGTCTTACGTGAAGATAACGTAAACAACGACATACTGACAGACAAAATATCTAGAAATGCTATCGTTGATCGATGTATCATTGCAAACATTGTGCAAAACTTTCCATTTATCTCTCCACAGTGGATGAACCCAATGTTCTTACTATTATACCTTTTCCTATTTCTAACGACAAGTACACACATAACCGACACCTCGAGATCCAGCTTGTTGAATGACGAAACTGTTCAAAGGGCGCTAACTCACCGGAACACCACAACGCGGCGCGTCACCAGCTACGTATCCAAACAAATGTATGACAGCTAACTCACATGGCGACGGTTTGACGACTTCGCTAATTTGGAAAGGTAGTCACGACTGTTCGCTTACTATGTGGAGTCTGGGACTGGCGAGCTGCTATGTCTCCAGTAAAATGTACAGGAGTTGTATGCATCTCATTCATTCTGTATCCAAATGGACGCCATTTTGGACGCTCGGCATAATAATTATTTACGTTTTGAATACAGAAATATTTTTGTGGAGATTCAAGGTCGTAGTTAAAAAAAATGTTAGGACGAAATTGAAGTGTACATAGGGACAGACGACGGGAAGCGACCTTGTTTTATACAATGTAGTGATATCCACGTTACATCCAAAGCTATTTGAAAAAACAAATTATCAGTGCTCACAAGTCGCTGATATAGGACGTGAATATTAATTGATAGGCAATGAAAAAGGCGAAGGTTATACTTCCAAAACGAAATTGTTTTAGGCGTACCCACATTAGATATTCCTGATAAATTAACTGCCAGCATACATTATCTCGTTTTTTGAGTTATTCGCTGAATAAAATGCTGGTTCCTGACAATGAGTTCTGTCTACTGTAGTTTTTTGGTGCCACGCAAAATAAAACGAGGGTTGTAATTTAAGAGCTTTTCCCTGTTTTGAAGTGCGTCTACATTTACTTTCAACCCCATTCTCATTGTTATTTTACACCGTGTCCTGTCCGACCCGTGAATATTTTAATAAGCTTGTGAGGGTTCCAAATGTTTATATTTAGCAGAGGCCCTAGTATTCTGTTTAATGAGGCGTGTACATAAAATTAAAAATTTATGTCATGCTAACACCGAATCATCCGTTAATTGGTTGATAATAATCGAAGACGCCTGTGAAAGCTATGGTCTGAAGTTTGTTTAGATTGAATTAAAATTTTAATTAAACAAAATTTACTGACTGGTTTATTTTAATATTTGTTTTCGCATTTTTACTTCTCTGAATTAGTCAGCAAATTATTTTATTGAAGAGTAAAGAGATAAAATTACTCTAGACAAAAAATTTCAGTCTCTCAGAGTCTTTCGTCGTCTCTGAGAGCGTCTCTCATAGTCTTTCACAGTCTCTCAGTTATTGCCTAGGTGTTTTTATAGATCTCTCACAGTCTCTGTACGAGAGACTCGAACGATAAAATTGTTAATTCAGAGATTCAAGTCTCTCACAGAGAGACTGAAAGAATAAAACTGAAAAATTGAGAGACTGGAGTCTCTCGTAGAAAGACTGGGATCTGTGAAATATGTTGAACTTTTGAAAATTTCAACCATGTCTATGGGGACATCACTTATTGAGAGATTCGAGTCTCTCGTTCAGAGACGCTGAACAGTTTTTTTTGACAGTCTCTCTCAGCGACAGCAGAGAGACTCGATGAAAGACGGAGACACGAGTCTCGCTTTCAGAGACTCTGAGAGACTAAACATTTTTATCTTGGGTATATATTCTAAAATTTTTCATAGCTCCATTATTAAGTCTACAGGGTGTCCCAAGCAAGCGGGTTTCTTCAATAACGGTTGAAAAGTTTCTTACAAAAGTGGTACCATATCAGTACATATTTTCATATCCTAAAATTATTTTTGGTTATACGCAGTGTCCAGTTTTTTCTGGAGGCAACCTAACTTCATTTTTTCAAATGGAATGCCCCATTTATTATTGCATTTTAGTAAAGAGTGTGTACCCCGAGCGAGCGCAACGTTCTTTTCTAGCGAGTGAAAAACTCAATAGTACAGCTGTACTTCGCCCTACTCACTCCATATTTCTGTAAATAGGTACTGAACGTTTTGCAATTAGTTCAAATTACTACACAATTCAGTCCTATGCGCTGCAATATGGCTATTTTATTTCAATTATAGGTACGTATTATACCTTCTAATATGTCCTTGACTTACCCTTTATGCCTGAGAAGGTGTATTACTAACCTATCTCGCCTATTTCTATAGAGAAGTACAGGTATCTATACATGTTTTTGAATTTGATAATGGACGAGAGCCTAGGGGTACGAATCAAAATTGTATTTATTTGATTAATTTAGGTAATGTTGTTAAATGCTAAACAAGGTCATTTTGATTAATTGATTACCATAACGTATTGTAGGATTTATTATATATAAATATATTATTCTATTGAATTAATTCTACGGATAACCGTGTATATTTCCTACCCTACCGATGATTACGGTAAAGTTTAACCGAAAAATTTTAATACAAGATCGTCTGTGTTATCCAAGTTCGATTAACGATACAGAGTGTTCAAAGATAAAAAAGAAGGTTTCGTTTAAACGGCAGCGATGTGAAATATGGCTCTAATCTAAAGAAGTTGTAAGAAAATGTTCAGAATGCCGAAATATCAAGCTATGCGAAAAATCGCGTCATTATTAAAATGTTTGTTTTTCGAGTGAAATCATTTGAACGGAATTACATTTGAAAGTCGGCGTGATTTTTTGCATAGCTCCATATTTTGGCATTCTGAACAACTTTTCCCTATAAGTTTTTTTGATTGGACGTTGTTTTCTATTTTTGAACACTCTGTATAGTAAACCAAATTTGGATAACACAGACGATTTTGTATTAAAATTTTTCGATTAAACATACGGTTTGGTGATGAGCATATTGCGTACTTTTTTGTATGTTGTTTCACAATGCTGAAGATGGTTTTTACAATTTTTCTACCGCGGAATCCATTATAAGGAAAAAAATCATCGATGTATGACCATCTATGTTCCAATATTTATTACATGGATTGTTCGATGTTTTCATGAATGGCGGGATAATTTAAATTTTAAAAATTTTAATTCAGGTATAATTTAAAAAAAGGAATTGACTAATGAAAAAATGATTATCAATCCTTCCACCACGAAAGGCTCGTTCTGATCTATTTGAAACCACATTTTAAATCTTCGAGCATCTTTTTCCAATGATTCTCCACCTAATAAAATAAATAAATAAGTAATAAATAACAATAAAAAATCATGTGATATTTTTAACCTCAATTTAATGGTGATGATGGTATTATTAATGGATTCATGGTGAAATTTATCTTAAT